CCCCTAAGATTAAATGTAGTGAAAAATGAAGAAAATAAAGAATATTGCGTTTTTCTCCGCTCCTCTTCTGGCCTTGATCTTTTTCTTTTATTTTTAATTATGATGTTTAAAAAGACAAAAATCCGAGGCCTCGTTTCGGCCCCGGTTGTATGCCGTTAAGGCGCTGCGGCGAGGTCTGTTTCCGCGATCCCTCTCCGCGGCAGGCCAAAACGGTCCCAGTCCTCTGAGCGACCGGAAATGACGGTCTCTAGTTGTGCTYAGTGCACCCATCCATCTTGCCGTCTTTGGGGGTCACTCTTAAAATCCAGTGCGCCCAGAATCAGGGGTACCCTGAGTTCTCATAATTCCTGCAGCCCGGTCATCCCAAAGCACTGTCAAAACGCGGACTTAACCCTGAGCCTAAACCCCTAAACTGCCGTTTTCAGGCGGCGCACTACTTGTGGCCGCCTGACAGCGGGTCTGACACCTCAAGTTCTGGAAGCGCAAAACGAAAACGGACCCCCCGATACAATTTATCAACAGTGGGCCCTGCGTTTGACGTTTCGGTCTCGTTTTCTTGTGGCGACAAATTTCGGACTGCAACGCTGGCGCCGTGTACTTGTTTTTTCAATGGCTGCTTCTATGACCTCAACTGCCAGCATGAGGAGATGGCCAAAAAGGATCTGGGCAAGGGACACTGGCTCGATTTGGAATAAAAGCTCCGTGCCAGGGGGAGGATAAGGGAAATTTGCTATGTGCCCGTGTAATTTGCGGTCATTTACATGTTGCTCTTGCAGTTTCTAATAAATATTGGCAGCATATGTGTCTTGTTTATGAAACGAACTTGGATTTTGGGTTTAAGAATAAAATCAGGGTTGCACCGGCGCCGACCGCTGGCCCCGACCTCCGATTGTTTTGTCCCGACCGATCGGGGCTGACCGGTCGGCGGTCCGCCCCCCCGACCAGTCAGAAAACAGGCATCCGCTGCTTTTTTTTTTTTTCTGATTGCGCAGCCTTACTGCGCTTGCTGAGTACAGCCCAAATCCGCAGAGAAAGTTTTTGGGATGGGGGAGGGGTATGGGGGGTCGGGGTTTGGAGCATACCTGCGGCGCAAGTGTGCTGGTCACCGATGCGCAAAACAAACAAACAAACAAAAAAAACCGGCTGTTATGTGTGAGAAAACGCAAAGGAGAGAGAGAGATAGATAGATAGATAGATAGATAGATAGAGAGAGAGAGTGAGGGGGGGAAATGTAAACAAATATCTCCTTATTAATATTTATTCAACCCCCCTGCTGGTTATCCGAGAGGGCCCTGCACACAATCAGCAAGGGCCACGTTGCCATGAACGAGGTAGTAATCGTAGCCATGCTGAAAGTATGGCACGCCAAGTATATATGTTGTTGATTCACTTTAAGGTCCGTGTTTCAGCAGTTATGGGAGCACCGAGCACGCGAGTTTCAGGGCAATAGCTGGCCAACTCACCACGTACTTTTCAGGGCTTCCCTCCACTAAAAATGTGCAAAACTAGAATGAATCTTCTGCTAGAACATGGAAACGTACGCYKCCATATGTTTTGTCWTTTGTGCAAGTGGTGAMGAGTGAAGCAAGGCCCTTAGGGCCACTTGTCGTAGGAAAAGGAAACAAAAGAAATAGAGGAATGAATCTTCTGCTAGAACATGGAACACATACGCCGCCATATGTTT